TGTGTGTGTGTGTGTGTATTTATATATGCATTTATTTATTTCTCCCAAAAATGATGATTAACCAAAGGTAATGCTTCACCTAACGAGGTGTGATTAGGTTTTCATGTACGGTAAGGTAGGTTTGTAAAGATGGGTTGATTAGATTGAAATATTTCCATATAAGATTGAGAATGTTCTGTAACATCTTGTAGAATGAATGTTGTCATAGATATTTCCTTTAACTGTTACAGTGCTCCAACAGTCCTCCTTATGTTGAACCAACACAAGAACCTTGTGCCTGTCCTCCCGGACCTCCCGGACCACCAGGGACAACAGTTAGTTTTCTCTTTTTTTCTCTTTTTCTGCTCCTTTTCTCTTTTGACATGCTTAGTTGTTTAACATGCAAATGTTTCAACACTAAAGTACACTATTAACATTTAAGATCAGAGATTTCCATGTGATAAAAATGAGGCTTGCAAAAATTGAATGAGAAAGAAGACTTTGAAGTGTAGCAGATTTCTGGGGAAATTAGGAGAAATATTCAATTTATAAGTTAATGTTGATTAAAATGTAGCATTACAGTATCAATTTCTGTTATCCTCAGAATCTACATTTGGTGTCATTGCGTTAAACTGGAAGATATGTCTAAATCCTGATCAAATTATACAGCAAGCCCTACTAGTTTCCAAACACTGTAGGTCAAATTGCATATTTGTATTCAGTGCACTTATCAGATGCAGAACAGTTTGGGAGGTCCAAGTACTTTAATGGCTAAACAGTTTCTACCAGTTAAGCAAACAGAAGTTGGCCACTGGGAATAACTTAAAGTCTGTGTTTTCAAACCAGACTTTATAATTTTGTACTTTATAATTTGCCAACATCCACAGAACTTGTTTAAAAAAAAACCATCAATGCTTAAAAATTAGAATCACAGACAACATGGAATAAAGCCTGCATGTTTGCGCTTGCTGAAGAAACTCGAATTACACAAGTAACCGCTCTTTCACAAGGTCCTCGGATATCGACATGGCCAAGAAAAAACAAACTTGTTAATTAAAACCTTCGATACATGGTTTGAAGCAGCTTTTTTCTGTTTATAAGGTCACCGAGTGTGCTTTTACAACAATTACGAATAGGTCCAAGTGCTGGGAGCATTGCTGGCTTGCAGATGTTACATATGGCTCCAAACAGTACATGTTGCTTTAGACAAACCAGCTTTCTCAGCAGTTAATGGATAAATAAACAACAGTGCAAACAGAAACATGCTGCCACCAAGGATGTTTGTAATTATTCCATTGTATGTGAAGATTGTTCAATAAAAGATAAGGATTTTAGTAAAAATGACTGAAGCACCTCTTTACACCTTTTAGGGGGAAAAGGGAAGCACTGGTATGCCTGGTCAGCCTGGAGCTGCTGGTGCTGATGGTAAGCCTGTGAGTACTACAATAATAATTATATAAATATACAGCAAATACTGGTAAAAGTTATACCAGAAACAGCAATATGAAAAGATCTGCAGCGTTAATGTATTTTTTTTTCTTCTTTTAGTATAGCACCATATTTTATTTACTTGTACAGTAAACAACATGTTCTGCTTTGCAATATACTATAACTGTAAGTTATAGTATACTATAACTATAACTATAAGTTTTCAGCTGATAAGTTAATGTGTGATACATATTTAGTCCCTATGAGGTAACAGTTGGTATAACCATAAATCCCTGGGTGGGGGTTACGATCACGTGAAATGATACGACTGGCATAAAATCAAATACAAACAGCAAAAAAATAAAACAACAAGCCGGTCCCATCTAGGCGTAATCAGAGAGAAGGACAGACGAAGTGTGCTCCTGATGTCCGGTCTGCTTTGTTTTGGTCGCTGTAACCGCAGAAAATCCCGTTTCACAAAGATAGGATGTTATAGATAGGATGAG